TATGATACTTATTATTATTAATTGTTAAACACTACGTTTCTTATATTATATAAATGCTGAATATGCAACAGCCTACTTGATAATATATCCAGTGGCCTGCAGACTGTAGCGTGTCCAGGAATTTTCAATGGAGGGGGGATAAACGTTCCAAGTAATAATCAGGGTTGGAATTTTAAAGCATGACAAAGGTACGACAAAGAATAACCAAAATACGTTCAACCGAAAACATAAAAGTGTACTAGGTATAAGAGTATTCTAACCGAGTAGTTGAGCGTATTAATATAGTAAATACCTAACGCTTTCAAAGCTCGTTTGATGATAAACAGCCGTAAATGACAAAAAAGGAGCTCATCAAAATTAAGAAATAACATAAGTTTAAAATCAAAACCAAATAGGTACGAGGTACCTTATACGAAATGATGTGTCAGTGCATCCATATCTATTGTACTTAATCTATATTTACTTTTAAAATTAGACAATAATCAAAAACATGTTAGTGAAAATGTTATTTCATAAAATAGGAACAATTTTGATAAAAAAAAATCTCAAAAAGTCCAGAAATAGCATTAAACTGCAAAAAATCTCAAAAAATTCTAAATTAAATGTTTAAGAATTGTATAATAAATATTTAAATGCTATAAAATCCTAACCCAGAACCCTGGTAATACATTTAAATTAATTTTGGTGCTAGTGCAAAAGACACAAATAAGGGTATTTGTGGGACAATAGGGCCGTAGGGGGCATAATCCCTCAGTGGTGTACTTAGACCTGANTGCTGTTGCATCTTCTGCCTCTTTCTATTTAATTTTCGTTTTGCATAACCACTGAGATAAATCATATTTTTCTTAGACATTTTCAAATTTCAATAGTTGTTGGCACACACTAGTGACGAACAAAACTTAAGAATTCGACAAAAAACTCATTTATCATCACAGCAGTCGACAGAATACTAACAACTACATAACGTACCGATTACTGAATACTGATTATACTAATGATGCAAAACTGACCAACAAAATGTATGTAGAGATAAACTTACTGTAGACTGAAAGGTATTTACTATTTTTACCAATACATTTTTACTCGCATTTAGACGTTCGCAAAAACCAGTGATATTTTTAGATATTACAGCTGTTGCTAAAAGGTTGATAATTAGATGACAGAATGGGTTGAGCAAATGATATGTGCTTTTGGCCAACTTTACTTTAAAACTTAATAGCTTATTTTATCGATTATAATTTTAAATTCCATTACGATATGTGACTAATTTGTTTTGTAAATATAATAAATGTCTAACGAAAGCAATCAGTGGCGTACTTAGACCTGAACTTTGGGGAGTGTTTTAATTTTTTTAATTAACATATTAGATGACGTGACATCTGAACATAACAAAACATATTGTATATTTAATAGATTACTAATTTTTACTCGTGATATTATTTTTCATTGACATGTGATAATTAATAAATATGTAATTACTACTTAAACATATGTATAAAAAAAAAATTTTAATTATATAATAATAATAATAATAAAACAAAATAATTTAGATACTTATATTTTTTAGAACATTAATTTTCTATTTTTTTCTAAAAAAATATCGACCACTTCACTACTTTTTATTTGTATTTCTCTGTGAATACTTAGATGAGCCAATCCATTTAGACGATTTTCCCCAGTGAAATTCCTCAAGTATGGTTTTAAACGTTTTAACGTTGAAATGCTCCGTTCTACGCTGGCAACTGTGACGGGCAACGTAGCGCTAAGTTTTAAATATTGGTATACTTTAGGAAACAGTAACTCATCACAACAATTTATGGCATCTATAAAAGTTTATCTTCTGCAGCGGCTATCCATGTTTGTTTCCTCAATCGAACTTCTTTGTTCACAATATTGTCACATGAGCTTATTACGACTGGCCACTGCCATCGATACTGACTTTAGACTTCCTTACTTGTCTCAATTTCACTTTCGGAAAATTGTATTAATTTGTTTGGTATAAAGTTCTGAATAATTGAGAGTGTATTTTTGTGTTTGGTAAATCTAATTTCTAACTGCGAAATGAAATGGTCAATAAACGGGATGAATACAGATACCCGATAATAATTTTCTGCTGAAGTTAACTCATAATTTGCTCTATGTTGTTGAAAATGTGTAACCCTTTTTAATGTAGTTCAATGGTTGATAAAATAACATATAGGCACTGCTAGACACGACCGCGACGTTAACGATTGTCGATTATAGATTAAAGTGGCTAACACACTAGGTGATTAATCGCACAAAATAAAATACGTTTTACGACGACGATAAAAGATTGTCATAATAATTACACCGATCGTCCACGTCCATATCTACAATATCTTCGTGGAAATACTCATATATTCCCATAGGTACCCACATTAGATAATGTAAGCTGACAAGCTGTACTATTAATAATATTTATAATATTTATAATTCAGAATTCAGAATTTGAGAAAATTCAAATAATTTGTTATACCTAAGTACAGTACAATTAAAATACAGGTACTAGAAATTTTAGTTTTCTCATAATAAATTAAATCATCCATTAATTTCGGGGGGGGGGTATCCCCCCTCCCCCCGTTAGTACTCCACTGTAATCCCTAACTTCCCCCGGGACATATATACTTACATATCTACAGTATATACTAATCACATAATCACAAGCTAGTCTTACGGATAACGCCGAGCTGGATGGCTATACATTTATTAGAATCTAATATGGTTTATATTTAAAAAGACATAGTTTCCATAGCAAGTTACATCCAAAAGGAGTTGAACAATCATAATATTTTTTCAATTATGCTGAAAAAAACCTCCAACGCCGGGTAATTCAGCTAGTCATTAATAATTCTCTATATTTATTTTAATGATATATTTTAGGTGGGTACCTACTCTAAGATTATTCAAAAACATGTACCTAGTAAGTAAAACGTAAATATAAAATAAGATAAGACTTATAAGTTGATCGTATTAAGTTTAAGTTGAGTACCTGCCAATAAAATGATTCTCTACACTTATAAGTGATTATTATATGAGATGCAAATATTAAAATTACGCTATAATATACCTACAGCTTCTTCCTCTAGATGTTCGGAGCGCTCTTGAGGTTACGTATTGCACTATTCGAGAATTTGATCAAATAGAAAGTACAATACAATTTTATGTAAAATAAAAATATATTTAATTACTAACCTGTATCGCAGCTGCCTATGGACTACGTTATAACTGGATTAGGTGACTCGAAGTAATTAGGCACCTACTCAAAATACACATGATTCGAAATAATTAAATAAACTGATTATAACTGCTAGTTAAAATAAATTCTGAAGTGGTCGCTCGCAGGATTCAGTACCTATAAGGAGGTTGTTGAGATGACTGGTGACTCGTGCCTATATAATAGGACGATTCGGTTATGCTGACCAGTGACCAGGAAGTGGCAGGCGGCTTTATCAAAGGGTTTTGTGCTTCTAATCACTAGCTTTGTGTTCGGCGGCTAAGACCTTTTACGACCATCCCTTTTCTCTGTCGGCCTAAATATGTCCTAAGCTTTATTTTATACCGTTACAAACTTACAAATACGTGTTGATTTCTTAATCTCTGTGATTGTTACGAATAAGATTATACGAACCTCTCTTTTTGTCGGTAATAGGGTCTTATTGGGGATGTTGGATTTCTAAGTGCGCGACAAACTGACCGGTGTCTCTTAATACGTTTTATTTTAATTTACTTGTTATAATGATGTGTGAACTGTAAGCATATTATTATTTATTACAAACATAAAAAAATATTTGAATGCGTTTTTTCTGTGTTGTGCTTGGGCTAGAGAGAGAAAACAAATAGTGAGTAGACATTCTCTAAATAAAATAAATACAAAAATGTTGCTAGAACAGTAACTGTGACAGCTGAGGTCGTAGGTGTCAGTTTTTTTGTTTTGGTTCCAAGTCCGTATCACCAGGCTAACTTTTTAGTATTACATGGAATTTTTAAATTTGATTTTATACCTGTTACAGGATAAATTAATCCAGCCTTGGAGAAGGGGTATTCCCACATTGTTACATAATTGCATATTCCTCTAATAAGTACGTTATTGAATTCCAACAAAAAACAAAATCGATTTTGTGAAGAATCGGTTTACGTAAAAATCATATATTGAACACTGACTAGTGACTACTTTACATTACATTCAAGGTTCATACATTACATACACATGAAAAGTAGTAGAACAAATACTTGGATTTTCAACTTTGTGAGGGGTTCCTGGTAGTGAATTAGATCCAGTTGTAACTCTAAAGAGGTAAAAATTAAAACTTCCCAGTAGTCTTCAAAATAATCGGAAAAAAGAAAATATTAAAGTAAACCGGGAATTTTTTCGCATCGTTAATTTTTTTGACGAAATCGACTTTATTGTTTGGTGTAACTCGAAAACAAATAACCGTAGATACTTGACATTTTCACATTTTAATTTTATTATTTTTTATACATTTTCAAATTTTCAAAATATTTCGACGTTATAGCTATTATGTACTTATTATATTTTTAATTTTACCTCGTTTTTTAATGTCGATAAAATATTTTTTTGTCAAGTTAAAAATATTGAAAATTTAAAACAAGGTTTCTCATAAGTAGTTCATATTGCCATCAACAATTTTTTTAAATTATTGAAATAATTTTTTCTTTAGACATTTGAAGTTAAAATTAGGACGAAATTCGATGTTTACACAACCATTAACAATTTGTTATTTTATCACAATTTATTTGAAAATACTATTCATAGATAGCGGGTACTTGAAACTTTTAAAGTATATAACTTTGTTTTATACACACAATGACATTTTCAAATACAATGTGTTTGGCAAAAATTAATTCAAACCTACGGTATTATTAATAGTAATTCATACTACTATAATAGAATTATAAATTTAAGATAAAATATACTTGATAAATAATAAAGGCTGACAGACATTATTCACTCAGTACTGTTTTTTGTTTGCAATGATTTATTATTAAATTACAATCTAATACATACATTACAACGACTTACTCTTTAATTACAATGTACACTTGATACCTACTTTCTGCATTTTTTAGTCTGAGGATATGAGATAAAACAATCACTGAGCAGACACCCTCTCAAAAATATTACACAAAACAAAAAAATTAATTGGAAATTTGTACCTTATTTATTTATTATCTTAATCACTTAAATCCAGACAAAACAAGATTATGTTAAATGTATATGAATCAATAAACTACAAAAATATGCTACAAAAACATCAGCTTATATCCAAATTCAATAATATTACCATTTTTTTTTTTTTTTTAACAACAATGAATATGGTTTAAAGTAAAAAACATGTAATAAATCAAACATAACTAGAGTACAAAAATATTTAAACTAATAATTAAAATGGAAGAATAGAATAGTTTGTCAAAAACAAAAGTAATAATTAATATAATTATTGGATTTCATGTATTTTTATCGACATAAATATTTATTCTGTCGCTGCTACTTAGGAACATGTTCGTATTTTAGCAGAACTATAATGTTGTGTTTGTGCGATCGTAAAATGTTATAAACAGTATAAGAGATCAAACACATGCGCTCATTCAATGTTTTTTTTTTTAATAACATCAAATATTTTCAATACTATGAAACTAGCATGGGAACTAGAGACAATAGAATTTATTTTGTTTAAGTTAAGTTTTAACAGTATATTAAATTAATGTAATAAACAAACTATAGAAATCCATAACTTTTCATGTATTTATAATTTATAACACTTAATCCCTAATAAATAATATCTAATTTGTATTATTCCAAATCTATATTTAAAATTATTAAAATATCTCTAATATTTATCATCTCCTAACATGGTCCGTAAATGTCAAAAATAATCAAATTATCAATATTCACTTAGAATATTCTTATCGTAGTATAAAGTTAATTTGAAAACTCTATACCTGAAATTAAACATTACGTTTTCTATAATATCAAACCATTTTAAATGCCATGACGTTATAAAATTAAAGATCTAAGATTATTGGGATATTGTAAATGAATTATTAAAGTCTATGCAAACATACATAATATATCTAATTATATATTATTATGTTTGGATTGTGTTCAAAGCTGAACGATTGGCGCATGATTCCACAAAGATAAATTCTCAAAATGAGCTGGCACCGTCAGTAAAGCATCATCAGTTGAACGATTGACAGAGCAGTTCTGTAATACATTTTAATTATTAAAATAATATTTCAGTGATCAGATTTCTTCATTAGGTATTAAAAAGAGGAGTAAATATAAATATTTTTTTTTTAAATTTTATTATGTATACCTTTGGTTGCATGCGGTATGTGTCCACACATTCAATGTTTAACTTAATCACTTCCATTTTACATTTGTATCCGTTTAAAGTCAGTTTGATGATGGTATGCAAAGGGACATTAATGTATGGTAATTCTTCTGCAAGACAAGTAAAATAAAAATAAGATAAATAAAGTAGTACAATACCAAATGTTGCAAACATTGGATTTAAGCTTTGATAAATAAATTAAATTACCGTGTTTCTTATTCAAGAAATATCCAAGTAAGCATCTTAAAACAGCTTGGTGACTGATTATCAATAAATTATCCATATCTCCTTCGAGTTCCAACAATACTGGTTTCAATCGTGTCATAATATCTATGTAAGATTCTCCCCATGGATAGCGATACTGTAACTTATCTTGATCGCGCCAAGCAAACTCTTGTGGAAATTTGCATTGCATCTCTTCATAACTCAATCCTTCGCATACACCCTAATAAAAGATTTAGCATTACAGTTACTATAAAAAAACAAATGAAAAGTGTACTTACAGCATATAACTCATTCAAAAAGGGCACTGGTTCAATTGGTGCTTTAATACCTTGAGCTGTCTGGTGGGTGCGTTTCAATTCGCTTGTCCACACGCGAAGTCCATCTAAACGATTCTCATTATTAAAATAGCGTGCCAATGCTGCGGCATACGTGCGACCACGGACCGATAATTCTGCATCTCCTCCAATACGACCCAAAACATTGTTTTCACTTTCTCCATGCTATAAATAAGTTTTAAGTTGTTTTATTAGTAAAAATAAAGAAACATTATAATTTAATAATAGACCTACTCTTGAAAAATAAAATGTTTTTGCTAATGGTTTGAAATTTGAAACAAAGGCTAGCACCTCACTTTGCATAGGAGAATTCAAACGACAAACAGTTAGTGATTCTCCTAAATACAATTTTGAAAATTAATAAAAAGAACATGTATTTTTTTTAAACTGATTGTTTTATATATTACCTGCATTTAAATATTTTATGTAGCTATAGCCATCTGATTTTGGTTTCATTGGTTCATGTTGTTCCATGTAATGTTCAATCTTGTGATGAAAATCGTCAAGTGCTTTCTCACTAGACATATTTCTATAGTCCTTACTGAATTGCATTACTTCTTTGACATTATGCTCAATAAGCATCTCATCATCACAAACACACTCAATAAATAGTACCTTATACCCCATGACTTTAGCAAAATGATCATATACTGTTTGACGGCGAGCTTGTGTTATATGTGTGCCGTCCAATATCTAAAATATTTAACAAACATGTAGTTTATAATTCTATACAATAATCATCACTTAATACTTACAGCTACATCTCCTCCATCTTGTAACCATTTGGTGGCATCATCTTGTGCTTCTTGAGCACTTAATTGACGAATCTCAGCTGCTTCACTGTTTTCCTTACGAAAGAGGTCATGGCTACTATACAACTCGATGTGTTTACGTCTGTATGAGCTCACAGAAAACACTAGAAATAATACATAAAAATAATTATTTATTTATTTGACACAAATTTACATAACAAACACATTAACATCATAAAGATAATAAATGTCTAATATAAATTAGTGTTGATAAATAAAAACCGATATTAAGTATATAATTAACTCTTTTAATTGTCAAGAATTAAGATTACAAAGTCCAATAAGAAAACAAATGTACACATTTAAATTACCTATTATAATTGTATGAACATAACTTATTTACACTCTTATATGATTAAATTGTTAATAGAATATTATTTTGTGGCCCTTGTAAGCTATAAAATTAAAGAAAAACATTACTCAATGAAAATTGTCTTGTTAAACAACGGAAAAGAAAAATATGGTAAAAAAAAGATACACGTACATGAGATTTTAAAGAATATTAAGATTATTAAACTACAATAATTTTAAATTTAATATTGAAGACTAACCGTAAGAATCAAGGGTATTGATTACAATATTTTTAACTTGGGAAATTATGATTAGGTACATTTACAGTTTACACTTAGGTATAACTTTATAAGGTTTCTAAATAAACCAGAACATTAGCAAATTAATTGATTTTGCCATTGTGTCCTTCAATTATTTAGATTTATTCCGATCACCAATGTATTATTAAACAATAAATATTTTATTTTTGTCAACAGAAAAATAATATTTTCATTAGTTTGTAACAGGGAATGCGGGATACCAGGATATCCCCAGTGACATGGCCTATTAACATAACAGATTACTCAGACTATTGTCAGTAGTAATTACTTTTTTTTTATTGCTAGGTATACCTAATTAAATTTCAAATTTTTTTCTTTATTTTAGACCCAAATGCTTGTGAATTTATTATAATTACATACCTTTAGCCTTATGATTTGTCCAGTTGAGATATTGTTGAATCTTATAAGCAAGAATGGTTTTGCCGCGGGCTGGCAAACCTACCATTGTTATAACCAAGGGCACAAAATGTTGGCCGACTGAAAAATTATACATACAAATATTAAAACCGGCAATATATACAAAAACTATAACTATATGTAATAGAAAAAACATGAAAGGTACCATTTGGCCAGGTATTCTCAATAATTTATTGGCCAATGTTCAGCAAATCACTTGAAAATAGATTTTTGGCTAGTCAACACATCATTAAATACTTAATAAATAAGTCTTACTTAAAAGTAGTAAACATATAGGCTTTTATATTATTCGGTGAAAAAAATTGACAGTCCCTTATTTTATTTTAAAATATGAAAGTTAATGTTTTAATTATCTTAAACAGTTATCTCAAACATAAGTGGGATAAATGAAAATGGAAACACTATTATAAGCCTAATCCTCGACCTTATCCAACAAATATAATTAATTGTGAACTTTCAATACAGGCTACCCAGAGAAGAAATTATTTAGGTACATAAATTATAATATAATTTTTATATTTCCAACCATTTTATTAAATAGGAGAGAAGATAAACTCAACACCAAAAATAACTATTGTTAATGTAATATAAAGATTTACCACACAATAATAAATATTGTAATTATTGGAGTCTGGCCAAATTTAAAAGCATTTTACTTTATCAACAAAATACTTTTTTAGCCACCCACACGGCCTCATTTAAAAAAAATATATAGCATACCTACATGAAATAGTTTTAAAATTAACAGAACTCATTGTTTTAATACCTAATACCTAGGCAGACTGTATTAATTTAAATCACCTACATCAATGAAGTGAATCTTAAGAATTAAATATGATTTCATCTATCTATTTTAATATTAAGTACTTTTAGAAGAATATGTAAAAATTTGTTTTCACCTTGGGACATTACTAGCGGCAACAAATCTTTCTTTCCAACCATGTCATCATCCTCAGATTCGGACTGTGACTGACGTTGCCAGTCCTTTTTAGTGGGTCGCATCATGATAGTTGGCGCCATGATGTTGGAGTTGTCACGGACACACCAAAAACAGGACTCGCACGCTCACACCAATTATAACTATTCTATACTGCTAGCGGTGTGTGAGACTAGAGCACGGCGATGGCGTCTAGCTCTGAAAAGTGGTCTGAAGACGTGTGATAGATGAGCTTCTGCAGGTCTGGCCTCATGCCACCAATGGATCTTCTACGGACGACGTAGTCCACTTTGCTGGCCAGTGTGATGGTGCAGAGAAAATTTGTCGCGTCCACTTTGACCACCGGTGTATTGAAACGTGGACGAATGCTATAGGCTACCGGATATCTGCGGATTCGTCCGTGAACCCTTACGCAACGTGTGCAATCTGTGTAGCGAGCGGCGCTACGTGTGCAAAGGTAGAATGCCAAACGGGAAACAGAACACGCTGGTCGGTGAAAGAGTAGGAGTAAAGCAGGGGTAATCGGAGCGAAATCGGAACCGGAATATACCAAAGTGCACCGTTAAGGCAAGTGTGTTACTAAAACAGTAACAATATTCAGCCCTTGAGCTGTAGCACACGCGAAATGAGATTGACGTCGGCGGATTTCAGACGGCAGCAGAAATACAAATGCATTGTCAACAAGTGCGCACGGTAGGATGAAAAATAAGTACTATGCGTGCGTAAAACAAAATAGTATGTTCTTTTATAATCACCGAAACTATAGCGAAACAATAAGAACAATAAATGATTAAAAAAAAAAAAACCACTATCTATCCTACGACTGCACAACACACTCGGAAGACGGACGACTGAACACTGTCCGGCGACAGTGATGAGGATTGAGATTTGAGGGGGGCACTACTAAAAAGTGGCGTGACCGTGCGCCTGTGCGGACTATAGTGTAGTCTGTAATACGACGGTGCGCGCAGTTAGACACACTCTCACGAGACGGATCGGCGCGTGGCGAACGGTGCAGATGCGACGACGGCGACGTACTGCGGCGGACGGTGATACTAAGTTGCGGCGAGGTCTGTGAGAGAGAACGTAGAGTGAGTGTGTGAGAGAGAAACAGAAAGTCGGAAAACGAGACGACGTGCCTATTGCCTAGCGCGCTATTGCTATAGTGCGTTCCTAGCAAGTAGCAACTGTCCGCAAAATCGCTGTAATCAATAACAATCCGTCCGGGTCTCGACCGAGCCGGCGCGTAACGTAATATGATGTGAAAAAAAAGGTCGTCCGGGCCGAGTGCAGTGGGGATGGGCAGCGTTCACGCGCGCGCACTACCGCATGTCCGCATACCCTTAACCCGTCCCCGAGCGTGCAGTGGACGGTGGTGACGGAAGAGGTGAAAAGAGTCCGGCAGTGGCGGGCTGCCGCAGTGCCGCCGTCGCGCCGTGTACCGCAAATTTCTTGCGGTGTTGTTGTTGTTGTTGTTGTTGTTGTTGACCTGTTAGCGCGTACTACTCCAATACTACCACTACAACCGCTACACTACGCAGAGTCTCGTATTTTATTTCTAACGCTTCACGGTATGCAGCCCTTCATCGAGGGCTTGGACGTTTTTACGTCGTAGTTTTACACCGTCGGTCAAGGTCGTGTCCCATTCATCCCCTCACGCTACCGCGGACATTTTAAAATTTGTTATTCTACTATTAATATGTTTCTTTTAGATTTTGTTTGGTGGGGGTGGGGTGGAGGGCTAATTAATGCAAGTCAAGCACACAAATTTGAAACTACAACAATTATTGTATTATGATAAACTATATTATTTTACAAAAATAAAGTATTTAGCTGCCAGCCGATTTCATATAATTATAGATATTTCATATAATAATATGTACGGTACATAGTGTGCCCACATGAATATCGTATATGCATACGATAATATGTCTTTATAAACTATAATATTATATTCATAATAATATATTTGTGAAATCTATGTAACTACCTACTCACTAGTCACTCCCTCACTCCCATTCCCATACCAAGGATAATATCTTATATAAGATATATTACACTTATTAGTTATTATACATAATTAGTGTGGGTTTATTTTTTAAAATCAAATGTTAACTACTCACATTGAATTTAGTAGACACTAGATATACTTATTATAAGTCAAAAGTCATAAGTGCTTAATACATTACACAAGACTAATAGTATTTAACGTATGATATCTAAATCTATTATGTATGTATAATATTATCATTTCATGTGTCGTGTCACCTAAATATTCAAGATTTTCAAGAAGAAAAATTCGATAAGTATCGATACGAAATAGTTACGTACCATCTCGTATCGGAGCTCGAGTCCGATACGGGTCGGTTGTCGGTACGTATCGCTTGTATATTGCACGTGTAACATCTTGAACGCTCAAAATTGACCCGATACGTACCGATACACTCCAAATTCTTTCTTGAAAATCTTGAGTTCACTGAGTAGTTATCGTTCATTTAACAGCCTACCCCGAGTATCTCAATACTCCATGAAACCATGCACTCCCTTATGCATAGATACAATAAACATGCAGATAACTGCTACATTAGCCCATTTCTCAGAGTAGGATATATATTGTATGCAATATTATATACGATGTTCGAAATACTTATGCTGCAGTATCTGTCAGGATTATCGTTGCCCGTAGCCACCAATATACAAATACAAAATTGGTCGAAATATTTTATAAAGATTAGTGATTAGTGACCTCTATTTTAACAGCGCATAATATTTAATCAACACATCGATATGTTATACGAAATTTAGAACTGATTTTTATACCTACTTTATTTAATACATCGGCTAGAATTTTAGAATTTACCTATCATCACGTCTTATTCTGTCGTGTTTACCGCTTCAGTAATCTGAAATAGGTACTAAAATATCACTTTGAACATAATACAGACATTTATTACAAACTATGAATTAGGTATAACGCACTAAATTGATTGTGTTTTACTTATAAATTACACGTATAAATCAGAAATAGCTGTCATGCTCGTCGAAGAGTGTGCTTTATTTTAGGTACTTGTTGACTAATAGAATAAATACTTAGTATCGGCACCTATAAACTGAATACTGACAGGATACAAACTTCTTTTTTCCATCAGCACCAAATCATTAATCAATATGAAACTGACAAACAGATCTCTTTGAATTATATACTATTCAACTATTGTACAGATTTAGGATATGCATTTAACTTCCTGTTTACGGAAACTAGCTTTATAGGAAGAACAAAATATAGTATAGTATTACCAGTGACGTAACCAGGGTGTGTTTTCAGAGTTGAAACACCCCCCCCCCCCCTCCCCTCCTCCATCATTGTCGACCGCATATATTATGTACCATATGATTAAGATTTCTACAAAATATGTTGTCATATATGGTTTTACACTTCTATTTAATATTAGACATTATTAATATGAAGATTTATGACTAAAATTGTGAGTTTGTAAATTCAATTTAAAAATTAAATTGAAAAAACCCTTCCCTAAAAAAATCATGGATAAGTGCCTAAGTATCAAAGGTAAAATCGAGTTTTATTAGTCACCATTGCCCATAAACGTGTTTATCATATATTTTATAGTCTGGGCCCCGACTATATATTAGTCGATGAGAGCATGAAGCCTTTTTTGAACAAAGGCATATCGGCATATCGCATATGGATATGGAAAGTGTATATTGATGACTAAAAGAATATATTATAAAGTCAATAAAAAGGAATTAGGTGTTTAGGTCTACAGTTTACTATAAAACCGTATTTGTTCGCTTCTGATACACTACTAAACTACTAAACTAATGTGTACGAGTCATAGATTGCCTAACCGAACTCACAAACCACAATAAATACGCAAGTCACAAGCTACATATTTATTTATAAAGCCCAATATAAGATAAATATTAAGTATGTTTAGCTATGTAATATATGTCTTTTATAAATTATAAACCATCGACACCTACTAACATTGTTATTTGTCAGTACAAACTCCTTTATTAGTTGATTTTATTCTCGGTTAAATAAGCACCATCAATAACCTCCAAATCAACTTTACAGGCTTACATATAATCATCTTATCGCTTACGAGAATATAGTACAAGATATTAGACTAAATGAAGAAATATTTTTATAGAATTATATTCGCACTATATTCTACTACTCCAAAATACTTTGGAGTTCGAACTATATATCTCATAGGTAGACGAGTTATGAAAATACAGTAAATAAACAATAAACATATTATATTCTTTGATTTACTATTTAAAAATTATCATAATGGCACCAATTGAATGTCATGACTCATGGCGTAAACTATGGTTAGTAAATGTTTTTTTTAAGTTTACAGAGTTTAATTTATATATTTTATTTCATAATATTTTATACTTGAATTATATCAGTTGTTGTGTTCTTATATAAATATTGATGGATTACTATTTACTAAATACTAGCTATTTCTCAAGTTCTCTACTATAGTGGTCACGAATTACGGCTTGATAATGTTATATACAGAATATAAATGTTACAAGTTATAACTCTGATATAAATAGTAACGTAATACATATTATATTATAATATAAGTAATAATAGTATTTTGTTGCTAGGTACCTACTTACATAATACTATAAACAACAATATCATGAACATAATTGTGTGCTATATTTGTATTGTATGTTTCTAATTTCTATAGTGTAAAAGTTTACATTTTAAAAACAATAATAAAAAAATAGGCATGAGATATAAATTAAAAGATAGATAAAGAAATTTCGTAATAAAAACTTTAACTGAATGCAAAAACATAATAAATTGTACCTACCTAAATTAATTTAACTGCAGCAACATTTGTTTTCATTAGCTAGATAAACCATGAAATAAATATGAATACAGTGTCGATAATAATGAACAGTTGTAGCTATATGTACCAATTACAAAAACAATTAAAAAGTGAAAAACCATATACTATAATTGATATCGTTATAGTTTTATTAAACTAGATAATTATAGGTAGGTAGTAATTTTTTTTTTTATTTAAAAACTATAAATCAATACATTTAATAATTTTAAGTTTAAAAATTACTTTGGTATAATATTGTTGTTGAGTCATATAGTTGAAAATCGAATTAATAAATACTAATATAACTTGATTATTACCATATTTTTATTTCAAATATTAAAATATTATTAAGTATTGATATTATTAGGCATTTAATTTAATATCAATGCTGAACCAAATAGGTTATTTAATGATTTCAGATTTATATTAAAGTGCATGGCGTGGCAGAAAAATGACGGAGATAAAATATTTCTCCTTTGGCGTTTGCACTATTTTGCTTTCCTAACTTTTAACTATTTTAATTTTTATCCCATATCTAATAAGCTGTATTTGATACAATCGAACAAATGGTATGTTTTGGTATGTATGTAATTTAATATTTGGAAAATGTATGATTATTTTTCAAGAAATTAAAAAGGTTTTTATTTATGTATAAAAAATATGTTTATTCTTAAATATAGTAAAATTGAAAAACGATGTACCTACCTAATTTAATTAGTGAAAGCATTTTAACTAGGTATAAAAAATATTTTTTTTAAAATAATTATGTGTGACTTCATTTAAACGAATCACCTTCTAAATAATATATTATATATTTATATAGTAGATATACATTTTAAGCCTAGGCGTAGCTTTACTATATATTTATAAATTTAAATTAATTATTGTAAAAAATAATTGCATAGGTACTCATTCATATTACATCCACTGCAATTTGTCATGGCATTATCATTTTCTTGAGAATAATACCTACTAATTTGTATACAGAGTGATTCACCAAGTATTCTCGTACCCATTTGTTCCACATACTTATGAATTTATTCAAATTCTGATTTTTGAAATATTTAAGTAACTACTAACTTGATAATTAAGGACCATATTTTCAAATAAGAACTTACACTTACTTTTTAAGCTACCTAATAAGTTACATACTTCTAGTTTTCAAATGAGAACCAACATTTATAACTGTAAGTTGTTAATAAATTTAGTTATAGAACACTTAATCAAAATCAAAATTAG